ACAGAGACAGAGAGACTATCAGCATCAAACCATCAATATCTTTCGAAGAGACTGACAACCAATTACAGCAGGTGCAATTTTTTTTTTTTTTTTTTTTTTTAAAAGGAACAAAACCCTCCCAGAATACGGTTCGAGCGACCAGAGATCTCAAGAACTCGTGCAAAGTTTGACGGCTCCAGATGTGTTGGAGGAAGGACTTTCATAATTCATCAACGCCCAATGGCTTGTAAACAGCTGCTTTCAGCTTTGGGAGGAGGAAGGGGGGGGGGGGTTAATTATTATCCGTTATATGACCAAGAGAGAATGTTTTATTATATTTCTTCTATTTAGTTATCTATCTATTAGTATACTTGTTTATATACTTCCATTTTCTTATTAAACTGTATTTAGTTTTCATGGCTATTAAACACAAGCCATTCTAAGTTGTGATAATTTTAAGAGAGAGAAAGACGAGAGAGAGAGAGAGAGGAAGAGAGAGAGAGAGAGAGAGAGAGAACAGGAGAGAAGAGAGAAAGAGAGATGAGAGAGAGAAACAAGACAAACAGAGAGAAGAAGAGAGAGAAAAAAAAACAAAGACAGATACAAACAGACGAGACAGAAGAGACTATCAGCTCCATACCATCAATATCTTCGAAGAGACTGACAACCAATTACAGCATGCAATTTTCTTTTTTTTTAAAGGAACAAAAACCCTCCAGAAATACGGTTCGAGCGACCCAGAGATCTCAAGAACTCGTGCAAAGTCTCTGAGGCTCCAGATGTGTTGGAGAAGGACTTCCATAATTCATCAACGACCCAATGGCTTGTAAACAGCTGCTTTCAGCTTAGGGAGGAGGAAGGGAGGGGGTGGGGTTAATTATTACCGTTATATGACCAAGAGAGAATTTATTTAGTTATTTATTTCTTCTTCTTATTTAGTTTAACTTATTTATTCTTATTTATTTAACTTCTATTTAGTTATGTATCTATTAGTTTACTTGTTTATATACTTCCATTTCTTATTTAAACTGGCTATTTGTTCATGCACTTAAACACATGCATTCTAAGTTGTGAAAAATTTAGATGAGAGAGAGAGAGGAGAGACAGAGAAGAGAGAGAGAGAGAGAGAGAGAGGAGAGAGAGAGAGAGAGAGAGAGAGAGAGAGAGAGATTAGAGAAACAGAAACAGACAGCAGAGAGAGAGAGAGAAGAGNAGAGAGAGAGAGAGAGGTGGGGGAGGGGGAGGAGAGGTGACAGATATAAACTAATTCACATGCTAATATTTGGAATTCAAGATATTTAAACTTTTGAGATTAACCTTGCTTCTTCCAAGGTCTTGCTTCCTACCTGATCTGCATTTTTCTTTCTTTTCTTTTCTTTTTATTCGAAATGGTAACCATATTGGTCCGGATATAGCTTTAAAATGCCCTTGTTACTTTCGCTTGCCCGTATTTGCCTCCCGCCCCCTTAAAAATATCACACTGCTTCAATATATTATCTATATTACTATCAACATTTTCTCCAGAAATCTACCCCTAAGTTTTCGTTCCGTAAATACAATGAATACATGGATATATACTTACTGTTCCTTGATCTTAAAGTTGATTATCCGTTGGTTATGTGTTATATATATATATATGTTTAATTGCGTTCTAAACTTTAAAGTAACACACACACACTATGTTAACGCAGGAACGAGTTGACGAGGGCAGGGTCCTCTCTCCTGTTCTGTACGTGTATAACCAATCCCGTTTCATTCACGTTCGTTTTATCTCAGTTTCTCTCTCTATTTTACAATAGCTTTATAATTCGTTGTAATAAGAAGGTCATTTGATTTAATATTATTGGTTAAAATAAAATTTGCAATATAGGTAACTGTTTGAGGCATTTACAGTATATAATAAAATATATCTTTCTGCTATTAGATGCCTGAGGTACGATAACTGGGTTGCCAATCAGGATTTGGTGTATGTAATATATTTATATACACATTTTATTCATAAAGTTACATAATACTGAATTCATGTCAATCTGTTTTTAGTGATAAAGCTATATATTTGCCAATAATTTTAAGGCTAACAGTATATGGAACAAGTATGTTACGTTTTCGACGAATGAGTATAAAATCGTTGCCAATACAGATAAATGTTGCCTTGCAGCAGTTCGTTTGTGTCTGGTATAATCTCTCTCTTTGTCTTTCTCTTTCTCTCTCTCTCTCTCTCTCTCTCTCTCTCTCTCTCTCTCTCCCTCCCAACCTCGAAACAGGTCGAGAGTATATATTTGAAAAGGGTAAGTATCAAGATCTCTCTCTCTCTGTTTGTCTTCTTTGTCTCACTCTCAAGAAAAAGTTTGAAACAGGTCGAGAGTATATATTTGAAATCTTAATATTTAAGATTCTGATACCTCTGTTATATCTATACTGCTGTATGCCTATCGGTACAATACAGGCAGCGGTACGAGTCACAATTCATTTAACACATACTACACACTGCTTGAAGTAAATGGGATGTTAAAGAACAAGAAATATTTTGAGCGTTTATTAAAATACTGCATATGATATAATGATACATGTCAAAACACAGTCGGAGGCAAATCATTCTTGTTAAAGATTCAATTTACCAAATAATAACCCGGGCGTATTGAAAGCTATAATCATTTGCTGCCTCCATGTGCTCTTACTTGCAACACTGACCATTGTCTTATTTCGATTCACGGGCATGAGTGGCTATAACTTAAAGAGCAATGGCCTTGAAAAAATAGGACTATGTTCTGGTCAGGCAAAACAACATAAAGATCTGTGATTATCTACTTCCATTATTTACAAGTAAATATAAACCAAATAAAGGCATAATATCAGTTAAAATCAGATATTGATAAATAATGACATTCCATACTACCAGCCATCATATTCCAATGAACATTACATATTTATTTTGAAATGACACCATCAACCGTGTAAGGTTTGTAGGGTTATCAATCTCAAGAATGTATTATGATAAAACAGGGGTGATAAAAAGTGGTTCTTAAATTTATAGTATATATCCCCATACATCAAGCCTCTACAGTTACATGATGGTAAAAGAAAGGAAAATATAGTCATGCAATTTTTTCATGCAGTCTCTGTAAAAAATTACTTGTACCACATATTTTTTTTAGACATTGTTTAGCAAAAATAAAATCAGACCACTGGTCCCTTTACCACAAACAAGAATCAAAGCTTAACTTCAATGGTAATTAATTTGAAGACATTGTTGCATAATTAATGGTAAACATATTTGTCATTTAATAAGATATTGTGAGGATCTTCAGAGGACAGGGTACGTGTCCTCTTAATCCCCAGTTTTACCCCTCCCCCAACGACGCTAATCGCCCTAGTCTGGAAAAGTGTAGTGGTGTACTTTGAAAATCAGCAAACAAACACAGATGCAGGTTGAACAAGGCCATTTAAGTGGCAACTATCATACAACGGTCAATATTATGTCAAAGTTAATATGTACTCAGGGTAATATTCCTGTTTATCATATTTGACAATGATGCTTGGATTGCTTTCCCGATCCACAGTTGAGTCAAAAAGCATGCCAGTTGCAGGATTGGGAGGAGGTCGCACCATCGATGAGTTGCCAACGGTAAAAGCTCCCACTGCAACCTGTGCAATAAAAAGGTTTTTCATTCCTGCACCATCGGGTCCACAATAATTATAAGAGTATGCAGCATCAGTTGAGAAATAGGTCCCACGACCATAAAGTTGTCCAGTGCTTGAACCATGAAGACGCCAGTCAAAGTTTTCTGCGCAGATACTAGAAACCACATTATGGTTTGTACCGTGGAATAACTGCCGGACATCTACTTTCGTTTTGTCACCTAGCACGGATGACATTTCAGTAATCTTGTTTCCAAATGCACGCCACAAGTATGGATTCTGTACCCTATCAATCTTGATGACATAAGTAGAAATATGGCCATTCAAAAGAGCAGTGACTGTCTGGTATTCACTTGAGGATGGGGCCAAAGTTACTGTACGGACCCTTTCTTCAGGTTGCATTATCTCCCATGACGAAGGAAGGTCTTTGGGCTTCTTCTCATCTTCAGAGTCTTGCTTCTGGTCTTTTAGGTGAGGCTCAGGACGTCGTCTCACCTGCCTTACTACATTTGTTTTCTGATTTGTCTGAGTCATGCTCGTGAAATCTAAGACATAATGGAAAGCTGTACTCTTGAAGGAATAAGTGGATGCTGGATTTTGACGGTAATGTTTTTCAATGTCTTTAGATGTTGCATTTACTATTAATTTAGCCTCCCCTGTTGTATCAGAAAGTCCATATTGAACCCAGTTTTTCTTTATATCCAAGAAGTACCAAAGGAAATTGGATGGCTTAATCTCTTGTCCATCTATGTACTGTGTACATAACCTGCGTATTTTCAGTATTTGACTTTTAGACGAGTTAGTCAGCATCATTGTTTTGAAATCGGCTGACCAGGTATCACGTCCCATTAATATAAGAAGACCTCTAGCTGACGCCTTCAAATGAGTAGGATCTATCCGAGGTAAATCGACGCCGTCTTCTGCGGGATTGCAAAAGGAATGTTCTAAAGTAATCACCTGCTGTTCTGGCAAATTGTACCAATTCTCATTCTGCTTCATCACTTGCCAGTGGAAATGCTCACTGGAATGGAGTCTCTTGCAGCCTGAACCTTCGTCCCTGCACATTCCTTCAACAGAGTAATAGCATATCTCAGGGACAGCCACATTTCCTTGAACATCCTGTGCCCAATAAGTCTTAATTATTACTGGGGTGCCTTTAGATAGAGATGCACTACAAGCAGGGGAAAGCTTTAATTTCATTGTATCACTGTCAGTTTTTGTTGTTTCACTACGAACATTATCTTCTTTCATATCTAGAGCTTTTCCAGATTTCAAACTACTTGACTTGGTTTCACTCTCACTTTTGTCTGACTGATCACCATTTTCATCATCTGAAGAGGCACTCTCAGAATCTTCAGAAACAGAACTCTTATTTGCCTCTG